TTCCTAGTATAGAAGGAATTTTGGCTTTACTAATTAATTTTATTCGGCTATTCAGTTATCATTTTCAGAGGCATGTAAGAAAGCACTGAGTTTCATATTATAAATTCTGTGAGCTGTGTAATTTTGAGGTAGTAAAATAGAACCAGTTAATATTTGAAAACAGGAAGCAGTATACCTGTGATTTACTTGATTTTTTAGTGTAAAACATCTTGTTTTTAGTAATGACAAGCTAAGTTATTAAGACTAACTCTCCTGCTAAAAACAAGAATGTTATTAGCAGTATGTAAAAAGTATATTTTAAAAAAAATTACTTAAAAAAAAAAAAGCCAACATGACAGTGGAGAATTGCCAGGCTAATATTTGAGGGAAAGCCAAAATCCCGAGAGGTAAGGGCAGTCCTGGCAAACTAAAGCCACATTGCCTTTGGTTTTGCAGCCTTATTATAGGGTGAGGGGGACTGTACAAGACCTAGGGTCATCCAAAGCAGATTTCCTTAAGGGAAACCCCCCCCACATTAACCTGGAACCCCAGAGGGCTGCACCCTTAGGGAAGGGTGAACCAGAACTAACTTGCCTGCCCACCACAGGGAGGACTGCATGGGAGGTTGTCTTGGCCCTGAGCAGAGAAGGGTCAAAAGGGAAAATAAAAAGCTTGTTCTGGAGAAGCTGAGGCCGCAAACTGGCCATCATGCAGACTTTGTAACCCAAAGCCATGCAGCCTGTACAGATCAAGGAATCTTAATCCTGGGCTTGGTTTAATATGGTCCTCTACTGCTGATGCCTCCAGACACCTGATAGACATAAATTTACATTCTTTTTCCAGGAAGGCATCTTCATCCTAGGCCTTTAGAAATTCCCACAGATGATTTTTCAAGGGCATTGAGCACCAGGCAGAGATAACCAGGCATACAAGGAAGCGCTTCCAATGGTAATGAAACTTGGAGAAGTTTACTAATGATTCTTCTGTATTACCAGTTACTTATTCTTTATGAAGTGATTCTAAAAAGCTAGATATTAGATACTTTACTCTGAACCTTGGGATCTAATAATTTAAAATTTTTCTTGGCTGTCAGCTATAATTGAAAAATTAAAAAGGTGAAGGGGGATAAGAGGTTCAGATTTCTAGGAATAAGACAAATAAGTCATGGGGATGTAACGTACAGCCTAGGGAATATAGTTAATTATATTGTGATAGCGTGATACAGTGTCAGATGGTTGCTGGACTTATCATGGTGATCACATTTAGGTATATAAGTGTTGAGTAACTATTGTGTATACCTGAAACTAATATGATATTGTATGTTAGCTATATTTTAATAAAAATCTTTTAAAGAAAATAAAGTA